TTTTGGGAAATTGTTTTAGTGATCACTTCATATTTTTTTTTTACTTTCAGTTTTCACGTTCATAATGAGCCATCCTGGCCCTCTTTACGTTTGTCTTACCAAGTGCATATCTTAAGATAGTTTCTGGGTATTTTAGACCGTCGTTTTTTCTGTTCCCACCACTCTTAACAATAGATTCACTGAACGATATAAACGATATAAGAGGACAATTTACCTGCTAATCTCACTCACTTCTCAGTTCTGAGAGTTTCTTCAGGCTGGTTTGTTGGTTTGTTGGTTTTTTTGAGGGATCCTTGGTGCACTCTGAGCTTGTTTGTTTTCTTATAGACGTTTCATTAACCTAACTAAGTAACATCATCAGTGCTAGTGGACTGATAATGTTACCTAGTTAGGGTAATGAAACGTCTGCAAGAAAACAACCAAGCTCAGAGAGCACCAAGGACCCCTCATTTCAGCTCTGAGCTACAAATATTCTCCTTCATTGATTTGGGTTTGGGGGGGGTGTCACAGCTCTTTGTTTGTGGGACGTTTGGGCGCCCCTATTAGTCTTCCTTTATCCCACAGTCTCTCACAATCCAAACGATCAGACCTACAGTCAACAAAGCCAAAGATAAGCCTTACATGTACTTGGTCTCTCCCCGTTATCCATCCTCTCTTAGCTATCTGATCTCCTGTCTGTCTCTTGGCCTCTTCGGAGCATATCCTGTTCATCTAGTATTCCTTTCTCCCTGCAGCCTTCTCTGAAATCTCCGAAGCAGAACATTAACTGCTGCGGGAGGAGCGGGTGCAATGATTGCTAATTTGCGCATCGTCTTGTGTCTCCCTTGTTGGGTGGAGGTCCCTATCCCAATCTTTTCTGAGCTGTAGAGCTGCTAGTTACTGAAAACTGAATATTAAAATAATATTGATTTAAAAAAAAACAACAACCCAAAACTGTAATTAGGCCAACAGGCAATGCAACCCCAATTCATTTAGGTGGAAAAGAAATTGGAGTTCTGGCAGACTTTTAGAACCACTGGGCTGGAAGGTACCTTGAAGGTCATCTAGTCCAACCCCTGCCTGAGGCAGGAATCCTCATACCATTTCAGACAAATGGCCGTCCAGTCTCTTATTAACAATCTCTGGTGTTGGAGACCCACAACTTCTGAACGCAAGCTTTTCATTGTCAGGAAATTCCTCCTTAGCTCCAGGTTGTTTCTCTCCTTGATTAGTTTCCATCTGTTGCTTCTGGTCCTGCCTGCGGGTGCTTTGGAGAATAAGGTGACCCCCCCCTCTTCTTTGGGACAGCCTCTCAGATATTGGAAGACTGCTATCATGTCACCCCAGTCCTTCTCTTCATTGTTGTTAGTTGCGAAGTCGTGTCCGACCCATCGCGACCCCATGGACAATGTTCCTCCAGGCCTTGCTGTCCTCTACCATCTTCTGGAGTCCATTTAAGCTCAGGCCTACTGCTTCAGTGACTCCATCCAGCCCCCTCATTCTCTGTCATCCCCTTCTTCTATTGCCCTCCATCTTTCCCAGCATTAGGCTCTTCTCCAGTGAGTCCTTCCTTCTCATTAGGTGGCCAAAGTACTTGAGTTTCAACTTCAGGATCTGGCCTTCTAAAGAGCAGTCAGGGTTGATCTCCTCCAGGACTGACTGGTTTGATCGCCTTGCAGTCCAGAGGACTCGCAGGAGTCTTCTCCAGCACCATAGTTCAAAGGCCTCAATTCTTTGGCACTCAGCCTTTCTTATGGTCCAACTTTCACAGCCATACATTGCAACTGGGAATGTATTACCTACCCAATTCCTGCACATGTTTCAGCCTCTCACAACTTCTGGCGGCAAGTTGTTCCACTGATTAATTGTTCTCACTGTCAGGAAATTCCTCCTGATTTCCAGGTTGGATCTCCCTCTGAGGATCTTCTTCTTGTCCTACCCTCAGGTGCTTTGGAGAGTAAATAGACATCTTCTTCTCTGTGACCTTCAGGTATTGGGAGATGCCATCCTGTCTCCCCTAAGCCTATTCTTTGTGAGGCCAAACATACCTAGATCACTTAGCTGTTCATCATACAACATAGCCTCCAGAGTCCTAATCGTCTTCGTAGCTCTTCTTTGCACTCTTTCTAAGCGTCTTTTTTTTTATGGTGTGAAGCAGAACCTTGGTAAGGCCAGACTTGGAATACTGCATCCAGTTTTGGTCACCATGATGTAAAAAAGATGTTGAGACTCTAGAAAGAGTTCAGAGAAGAGCAACAAAGATGATTAGGGGACTGGAGGCTAAAACATATAAGGAACGGTTGCTAGAATTGGGTATGTCTAGTTTAACGAAGAGAAGGACAAGGGGGGACATGATAGCAGTATTCCAATATCTCAGGGGCTGCCATAAAGAAGAGGGAATAAAGCTATTTTCCAAAGCACCTGAAGGCAGGACAAGAAGCAACGGGTGGAAACTAATCAAGGAGAGAAGAAACCTAGAACTAAGGAGAAACTTCTTGACAGTGAGAACAATTAATCAGTGGAACAGCCTGCCTCCAGAAGCAGTAAATGCTCCAACACTGGAAGTTTTTAAGAAGAGACTGGACAGCCATTTGTCCGAAATGGTATAGGGTTTCCTTCCTGAGCAGGGGGTTGGACTAGATGACCTCCAAGGTCCCTTCCAACTTTACTACTATTACTATTTATCTTCTTAGGCTCATAAACCCACAGGGAAGAGGTCTATACACAGGAAATAAAAAATATGTCTTCTCTGGGAGAAACACTGACAGAGGAGGGCAAAGTATTAGGTGCATTAAATCATTCCATACTGGATAAATTGAAACCAGATGGCTGACTGAAAGCACCATCCATGCTTAGATATTGTGGGGACATGTAGATCCGGATACTGGTGGCGCCTTATTAAAAGAATATCGGCTTTGGGGAAATCCAGTCCATGGGCTGCAGCTAAGGAAAGCTGAGGCTTTTTAATAACATATTTGGGGGACCCTTCCTTATATGTGGGTCTTATAGAAACCATCCCATAATACCCATAATGCAAATGACTTGAGGGAAAGATCCTGGTGCTTTATAAAAATGGAAAGCAATTGAAAAAAGGAGAGGTGGCTAGAATATTATCCCTGTTGACATAAGCATGGCCTTCCAAGGACTCAAGAAAGCTCTGCCTGACAGACAGTCCTGTCAAAATAATGTCCGCTGGGTCACCAACGTGTGGAGAGTGAAAAACCACAACAACGGAAAGCATCGGATCTTGTTTATTGATGTAGCCTTGCCAGCAACTGAACTGTCTCTTCTCCAGCGGATTTCAACCGTTGAGTGCTTGTTTGCTCTCTGCCGGGTGCGTTTGACAGCTGGACTATTGGCTGTCAGGCCTCATTCCTAATATTGTCTCAGCACAGATGCTTCTATCTGATGACCGTCCTCTTTGGAAGGACTTCAGCTGCAGGAACTGGGTATGGCCAGGCTAGAGAAAAGAAGAACTAGGGGTGACATGATAGCAGTCTTCCAGTCTCCGAGGGGCTGCCCCGAAGAAGAGGGGATCTGCCTACTTTCCAAAGCACCAGAAGGGCAAGACAAGAAACAAGGGATGGAACTGATCAAGGAGAGAAGCAACCTGGAATTAAGGAGGAATTTCCTGATGGCCAGAATAATTAACCAGTGGAAGGGCTTGCGTTCAGAAATCATGGGCGCTTCATCACTGGAGGCTTTTAAGAGAAGACTGAACAGCCACTTGTCTGAAATAAGTGAAATAAGCCACTTGTCTTCTGGTTGAGCAGGGGATTGGACTAGAGCAGTGGTTCTCAACCTGTGGGTCGGGACCCCATTTGGGGTCGAACGACCATTTCACGGGGGTCGCCAAACAACGCAGTCCGCCATTTTTCCCCCCCTTTTCCTTAGCTGTGCTACTCCCTTTTATTCTATTGGTTTTTGAAAGCCAATAGAATAGACTCTCTTGAATAGAGTCTAATTCTATTGGCTTTCAAAAGCCAATAGGAATTGTCCAGGCTGTCTCTGCCCTGCTGAGTCCGCCAAAGTCCCATTCTGCAAACGGTGCTGTACCAGTTGAGTAGTCCTCGACTTACGACTGGTTGAGTAGTCCTCGACTTACGACCGGTTGGGGGTCGTAGCATTAAAAAGGTTGAGAACCACTGGACTAGAGGATCTCCAAGGTTCCCTGCCAGCTCTATTCTGATTACAGAATGATTAGCTAGCGAGAGAGAGGGGGGGCATGGTGGTGCAGTGTTTAGAATGCACTATTGCAGGCAAACTCTGCCGATTGCCAGCAGTTCAATCCTGACCAGGTCAAGGCTGACTCAGACTTCCGTCCTTCCAAGGTCAGTAAAATGAGGACCTAGATTGTTGGGGGCAAGATGCTGAATCTGTAAAGAGTGCTAGAAAGCACTGTGAAGCGGTATATAAGTCTAAGTGCTGCTGTTATTGCTATTAGCCAATCTCCTACATCACTGCATTTGTCCCAATCCAGATGTTCCTACAGGGTCACGTTCTTCCACTGCTCAGTGTTTGCATTGACATGTTTGGGGTGCCACATTCTTCCCCCTGGATGTTGCGTGTAGTGCCTCTTTCAATTTTCCATAGAATTCCTCAGGATGTGCCAACATGCCCAAGGAGGGCACAAATTGGTGTAATGCTGAGGTTTGTGGGATATCCAGTCGATTGCAACAGCCACTGGATCCTGCCAGTCACCATAGGTTGTGACATTTAAATCTGAATGAACAGACCGAGTTCTGGGAGCTGGAAGTTCACAAGTCATAAAAGGTGCCAAGGTTGGACACCTCTGGATGTGCTGGCTGGGGAATTCTGGGAGTTGAAGTCCTGAAGTCTTAAAAGTGGCCAGGTTTGAAGATTCCTATTGTAGAAAGCCAGTGAAGTAGCACGCAGGGCTTCCAAGCTTGGAAGGAATCTCCAACTTTCAAGGCTGTGATGGATGGGTTGAGTCTCCAGAAGGCTTGAAGTCTTTTTAAGACGCCCCCTTTCCCATAATCTCTCCCTTCTCGCCCCCACAGGTGGAGCTCTCCGATGGGACCTCCCACATCATCACCGACGCCTATGCCGGGAAAGAATACATCATCCAGGTGGCCGCCAAGGACAATGAGATCGGCACCTGGAGTGATTGGAGTGTGGCCGTCCATGCCACACCCTGGACGGAAGAGCCAAAGTACCTCACCACCGAAGCCCAGGGAGCAGGTGATGAGCAGAAGAAGCAGCCAGCCTTGCAGTGTTGGTTTAATTGTGGGAAGGGGTGGGGGGACTCGTTTGTGAGTCATGATGCACAAGGCAGCGTCAGGCTACCCACGTGGAACCTCCTTATTCAGAGGCAACCTATCGCAATACCACACTAGTGAGGCCGCACTTGGAATAGTGTGTCCAGCTCTGGTCACCACAATACAGAAAAAGATCTTGAGACTCTGGAAAAAGTGCAGAGAAGAACAATTAAGTAGATTAGGGGACTGGAGGTTAAAACGTACGAAGAACGGTTGCAGGAATTGGGTATGTCTACTCTGGTAAAAAAAAAAAAGCTGGGTGACGTAATAAGCATTTTCCACTCCTTGTGGGACTATCACAGGGAAGAGGGGGTTGATTTGTTCTCCAAAGCACCTGAAGGCAGGACAAGAAGTAATGGGTGGAAGCTTGTTAGGGAGCAATCCAATCTAGAAATAATGAAAAAATGTCCTGATAGTGAGAACAATTATTCGATACTGTCGAACAGTTTGCATCCAAGCTCAGAGAGCTTCAAGGACCCCACAGTTCTCCTCCTCCTCCTCCTCCTCCTCACCATCCCCACTCCCTTCTAGCACTGATGATGTTTCCTAGTTGGGTAATGAAATGTTTGCAAGAAAACCCCCCAGTTCAGAACACTAAGAACCTCTTCCTCCCTTCCTTCCTTCCTTCCTTCCTTCCTTCCTTCCTTCCTTCCTTCCTTCCTTCCTTCCTTTCTTTCTTCCCTCCCTCCCTCCTTCCTCTTCCTCCTCCTCCTCCTCCTCCTCCTCCTCCTCCTCCTCCTCCTCCTCCTTTCCACCAACCCTGCTCTCTTCTAGCACTGATGATGTTTCCAAGTTGGGTAATGAAATGTTTGCAAGAAAAACCCCCAGCTCACAGCACTAAAGACCCCTTCCTTCCTTCCTTCCTTCCTTCCTCCTCCTCCTCCTCCTCTTCCTCCTCCTCCTCCTCCTCCACCTCCTCCTTTCCATAAACCCCACTCCCTCCTAGCACTGGTGATGTTTCCTAGTTAGGTAATGAAACGTCTTTAAGAAAACAACCCAGCTCAGACAGAACCAAGGACCCCACAGTTCAACCTGAGCTACAAATACTCTCTTCTATTAGTAGTTTTAGTTGCTTCTCTATATGGACTCATTCCACTGGTTGGGATTGATGAGGAAGAGCAGAGGAACATGGAGAGCTTTGGCATCAACCTCTAGTTTCAGTGTTGTTACATTCTGAACAAGATGACCGTCTCTCACGAGAGAGCTAAAAAAAAACATTAGCCATGGGACGGTGTCGGTATTTACCCATCGCTGTTCTCTGGTCAAATTCCAGGACCCAAAACATTGCCCAGAGTTGTGTGAAGGGCCCCTTTGCTTCCTGCTTCCTTTGTTGCCTTCCTGTGACTTCCAGCTCTTTGATTCAGTATTTCTGGGAAGCCTCAAGTGAGAACAATTAATTAGTGGAACAGAAGTTGTGACTGCTCCATTGGTGGAAGATTTGAAGAAGACACTGGACAGCCATTTGTCCAGAATGGTATAGGATCTCTGGCCATGGAAACAGGGTTGGACTAGAAGACCTCCAAGGTCCCTTCCAACTCTGTCATTTTGTTCTGTTGTTGTTTCTATGATCGTGTGTATCAATCAAGCCCAAAGAAAGTCCAGAATGCTATCAGATCTCTTACCATGGACGGGGTTGGACTAGAAGACCTTCAAGGTCCCTTCCATGTTATTCTATGTTCTATGTTCTAACTCAAGAACCCCCAGACTGGACGGATGCCAGCAAAATGTAGCAGAGTTCTGGGCAACTTTTCCAAGCCAAATGAGGTCAACAGAGGAGAACAGCCGTGCCCATAAATAAGCACTGCCTCTGCTCGGAACTGGAGGTCAAACTTAGTCTGGGTCAGCGGTAGGCAACCTTGATTCTTTTAATGACTCGTGGACTTCAACTCCCAGAATTCCTGAGCCAGCATGGCTCAGCTTGGAAACCTCTCCCTTTTCCCTCAGCATGGCTGGCTTAGGAATTCTGGGAGCTGAAGTCTACGAGTCATAAAAGAGCCAAGGTTACCTACCCCTAGTCTGGATGATATTTTTTTGCTCAAACTGAAAAGTGAAAAACACCAATTGCCCTAAAGGCCACAAGAGGGTGCCAGTGGTGGCCTTAAGAGGTTTTTCTGGTGGGGCTTTTCTGCCCCCTGGTGGCCATTTGACCACACGCAAGCTGGAAGCGCAACCTTTTCCTGTTGCGTTTTTAACCCTAAATCCTTGTGAATTCAAGTAAGGTTTCATCAGCCTTTTTAAGTGCAGGAAATCCATTCAGGCAGAAAAGGAACACACGACTTTAGGGCACTAAGTAAGGAAGGTTGTTTTGAAACAGATGCAAACCAGCCGTTAGCAGTCAGGAGGGGTGTTTTATTGCCTTTTTCTTCTTCGACAAGGGAGCTGGTGATGAATTGGGGGGGGGAATAGTTGTTAATTAGTGCCTCTCTCCCCTGTCCTTTCTTCAGGACATTAATAAATGCACAGAAGCCTTTTTAACCCTTGTAGGAACTTTGTTAAGATTGTTCTTGCTTGGGCTGTGTTCACCCAATACACCTTTGTCAACTCGATTGCTGTTCATACAGAATCAAATGCAGAACCCCCCCCCCAAATAAATCTATGTATTTGTTTATTTAGCAGTGTACAACAGAAGAATTCCCTCTAGAAAATAATGGGAGGGACTTGTGCAGACAAAAGGATGCACTCAGAATAACAGAGTTGGAAGGAACCTTGGAGGTCTTCTAGTCTAGCCCCCTGCTCAGGCAGGAAACTCTATACCATTTCAGACAAATACCCTGTTTCCCCGAAAATTAAGACCTAATCGGAAAATAAGCCCTAGCATGATTTTTCAGGATGCTTGTAATATAAACCCCCCCCCCAAAGCCTCAGTTAAGATTGTCAGCTGGACGGACGCATTTAGTACCGTATTTCCCTGAAAGTAAGACCTAACTGGAAAATAAGCCCCAGGTCTTATAATAATAATAATATAATAATAATAGTAAAGTTGGAAGGGACTTTGGAGGCCATCTAGTCCAACCCCCTGCTCAGGCAGGAAACCCTACACCATTTTGGACAAATGGCTGTCCAGTCTCTTCTTAAAAACCTCCAGTGTTAGAGCATTCACCGCTTCTGGAGACAGGTTGTTCCACTGATTAACTGTTCTCACTGTCAGGAAGTTTCTCCGTAGTTCTAGGTTGCTTCTCTCCTTGATTAGTTTCCACCCATTGCTTCTTGTCCTGCCTTCAGGTGCTTTGGAAAATAGCTTGATTCCCTCTTCTTTGTGGCAGCCCCTGAGATATTGGAACACTGCTATTATGTCTCCCCTTTTCAGCGAAATACGGTAGCTATCCAGTCTCTTCTTGAAAACCTCCAGTGATGGAGCAGCCATAACTTCTGGAGGCCAGCAGTTCCACTGATTAATTGTTCTCACTGTTAGGAAATTTCTCCTTAGTTCTAGGTTGGATGTCTCCTTGGTTAGTTTCTATCTATTGCTTCTTTTTCCTGCCTTCAGGGGTTTTGGAGAATAAGTTGCGCCCTCTTCTTTTGGCAGCCCCCCCACACACACACACAAGCCTTCTCTTCATTAGACTAGTCCATGGGTAGGCAACCTTGGCTCTTTTATGACTCGTGGACTTCAACTCCCAGAATTCCTGAGCCAGCCATGCTGAGGGGAAAGGGAGAGGTTTCCAAGCTGAGCCATGCTGGCTCAGGAATTCTGGGAGTTGAAGTCCACGAATCATAAAGCAGCCTAGGCCTAGGGCAAGGGTAGGAAACCTTGGCTTTTTTATGACTCGTGGACTTCAACTCCCAGAATTCCTCAGCCAGCCATGCTGAGGGGAAAGGGAGAGGTTTCCAAGCTGAGCCATGCTGGCTCAGGAATTCTGGGAGTTGAAGTCCACGAGTCATAAAAGCGCCAAGGTTGCCTACCCCTGGATTAGACGTACCCAGTTCCTTGCAAGCCTCAAGTCCTAACACAGTGCAATGCCAAAGATACCAACTGAAGAAATGTCATTCAAAAAATTAGACTACCAACTGCAGACCCTGACACAGGAAGCTCAAATCCCAGGGCCATCCTATTCGTGGGCCAGATGCCCACGGAGACGAAAGGGGGCAGAACCAGGAGGCCCCCAATTGTCTTGCTGGCCTTGAGTCTTCTGGAAGAAGAGCCTCTTGGTGGTGGCAGCATTTTAGGCCGTGTTTGGGTCTGGGGTGTTGACTGAAAGGCTGCAGTCTGAGAGACAGGGTGGCCACAGCAAAGTCAGCCCCTCTTCATTGCCCAGACCTCCAGTACAAGCCGCAATCATGACAATAGTTTCCTTCCAAGGCTACAGAATTCATCCTTGGTTGTTCTACATCAGTGGTTCTCAAACTTTTTAATGCTGTGACCCCCAACCGGTCGTAAGTCGAGGACTACTCAACCGGTCGAAAGTCGAGGACTACTCAACTGGTGCAGCACCGTTTGCAGAATGGGACTTTTGGCGGGCTCAGCAGGGCAGAGACAGCCTGGACAATTCCTATTGGCTTTTGAAAGCCAATAGAATTAGACTCTATTCAAGAGAGTCTATTCTATTGGCTTTCAAAATAGAATAAAAGGGAGTAGCACAGCTAGGAAAAAGGGGGGAAAAATGGCGGACTGCGTTGTTTGGCGACCCCCATGAAATGGTCGTTCGACCCCAAATGGGGTCCCGACCCACAGGTTGAGAACCACTGTTCTACATGGAGGTGCAGGTGTTGAATTGGGGTTGGGGCAAAAAACCCAAACTTGACCTTCATTTCCTGGAAGGGTCTCCTCTTTTCCCCCCTGCAGAGAGCACCACCAGCACCACCTCCACGTTCAAGGCGCCCCCCACCACCAGGATCTATGACTCAGAGGAACAAAGCAGCGATGAAGCCGTGTCACCTTCTGTGGTCCCAGGCCTGGCTTTGGTGGCCTTCGCCCTTCACTTAATCTAGTGAGTATCTTGTCCAGCAAGGTTTTTCCTGGGGTGGGAAGAGGGTTCAAGGACAGACCAAGAAGGGAGGTGGCAAAGAGAACAGGTGACAAGAAAGGTCCTAAAATGGGGCAAAAACCACTTAACCAATGTCTCGCTTAGCCACAGAAATGTTGGGCTCAACTGGGATTATAAGTCACGGACTACTTGTAGTTTCTTCTGGGCCAGGGGTAGGCAACCTTGGCTCTTTTATGACTCGTGGACTTCAACTCCCAGAATCCCTGAGCCAGCATCGGAGAACTATGGCCCCTTCATGACTCGTGGACTTCAACTCCCAGAATTCCTGAGCCAGCCAACCTCTCCCTGTCCCCTCAGCATGGCTGGCTTAGGAATTCTGGGAGTTGAAGTCCACCAGTCATAAAAGAGCCAAGGTTGTCTAACTTTGGCCTGGGCCTAGGCTGCTTTATGACTCGTGGACTTCAACTCCCAGAATTCCTGAGCCAGCCATGCTGAGGGGAAAAGGAGAGGTTTCCAAGCTGAGCCAGGCTGGCTCAGGAATTTTGGGAGTTGAAGTCCAAGAGTCATAAAAGAGCCAAGGTTGCCTACCTCTGACCTGGGCCTAGGCTGCTTTATGACTCGTGGACTTCAACTCCCAGAATTCCTGAGCCAGCCTGGCTCAGCTTGGAAACCTCTCCCTTTCCCCTCAGCGTGGCTGGCTCAGGAATTCTGGGAGTTGAAGTCCATGAGTCATAAAAGAGCCACGGTTGCCTACCCCTGTTCTGGGCCAATCATGTCTTTCTAAACTTCTAACAAAGTTTCTGTCCAGTTGTTGACCAGATTAGAAATAACAACCGTAACCCTTGCCCCGAGAATAAGAATCAGGGTCCCTATAGAATTAGCGAAAAAGAAATGGAGCTCTTCTTTAAAGAAAATAAAGAGGAAGACACAACATTACAAAATGTATGGGATACAGCTAAAGCTGTATTTTAGAGGCATAGCTATAACATATAGGGCAGTGATGGTGAACCTTTTAGAGACCGAATGCCCAAACTGCAACCCAAAACCCACTGATGTATCATCGGGTGCCGGGTGGGCGTGGCCCATTGGGTGGGCGTGGCTGCAGTGGTAACGGCAGACTGGATGGGACTAAAAAGTTCAATCAATCAATTCCAACTTTGCGAGATCTTTTTTTTTCCGCGAGAAGTTGAAATTGACTGATTGATTGAACCTTTTTTTTTTTTTTTTGCGCACGGCGGCAGAGGCCTAAAGCGAGAAGGTTTTATAAAACCCAGCTGAAGTCCTAGGAGAGGGGCGACGGCACGTGTGCCCACAGAGAGGGCTCTGAGTGCCGCCTCTGGCATGCATGCCATAGGTTCACCACCACGGATACAGGGCAAAGAAAAATAAACAGAGAAGACAGCAATACGTAGTATTAAAAGAAAAATTTGGAAAACTAGAATCAGAACTACAGAAAAACCCGCAGAAAAAGACTTTGAAAAGAGAAATGGAAACAATAAAGCAGAAACTAAACTTGTTGGCAGAGCAGATAAAGAATCGGGTCCCTTTTAAAAAAAGGACCCATGTTCCTCAGCCTGGCCCTGAGGTTGCCCGAGAGGCGGAGAAGGCAGCCTTTCCTTCTCTCTTCCTTCTTCCAGACTCGAAGGCCACCAACTCACCCGAGCGACTGTCTTCTCTTTCCCTCTGTTTTGCACATGGTCTGAAGGATGCGTCTTTTTCTCTTCATGGCTTCGCTTCCTGGAAGGACGAGTCCTTGGGAGACCCAGGCGTCCCCAGCTCCCCCTTCGCCCACCCACCACAACCTGCCCTGGATGGAGCCCATGCCAGACCGATGGCGGGTGGGAACGAGGAAGCAGCCCTCCGGAACACGCCAGGGAGGAGCACCCGGCCTTGGGCTCGGATTATACAGCTAAGCCACCAAGCCAAAGATGCTTCCTTCAGCCGCCAAGGCAGGACCCTCAAGCGTGTGGACGGGGCAGCCCAGACCAGAGGTCCCCCCCCGGAGGGGGCCACACCAAGCTGGGAGCTCTCCGCTTTTCTGAACTGTGAGAAGATGAACTTGTGAGACCTCAGCCAAGCAAAACAAGGAAACGAGGGTGGGGACCCGGATCCTCCCACAGACGCCCCCCCTGTGAGCCCCAAGACTTCCATATAACAGGTTGAGAGGGGTCTTTTTCTGCCTGCACTGACATCCTTGTTGCCGAAAGATGGGGGCTGTTCCTGGACCACCCCCTTGTCTCCCCCTCTTTGTAACAGAGTCCGTTCAGTTTATACAAGGATCATTGGGGTTTCTGTACTGCTCTTATTACGGGGTGGGGGGTGGAGGATGGGATCCACACCGGTGGGGGGTTCTGTAACTAAGCCGAGACACTCTACTCACACACACCCCAGCTCATCCTGTTCCCCCAACCCGTTTTGTAATGTTCCCCTCCTCTCCTGCCCCAGACCCACGTCGGATCTCGCCCCTCTCCCGTCGGGGTGCAGCATTTAAGACCGTAAGCCCTTCTATGCCCCCTGGATTGTACGCCGTCTTTGAACTTTTTATAGATGTACATAGAAATTTTAAGACTCAACATGCACACACAAACACGCACCGGCACCGGAAGGCAGAGAAGCAGAGAAGATACTCATTAAATGTGACCATTTCATTACAACTTTTGCGGATGTGCTTGTGTGGCCTCCTTTCCCTCGCCAGGTTGACGGTCTGCAGAAAGAGGGGCTGGGGGGGGGGTCCATAAAAGATAGGATTTGGGCGGAGCCAGGCTCTGTTGGGGCATACGTGTCTGCCAGGTTAGGTCAAAAAAGTCAAGATGGTGGCAACAGCGATGTGATCGAGTCGCCACCTATTTTTCACGTTTAATGCAAGTCTCCTGGTGTTTTGGAAAATAATGCATCGACAGAAGAGAACATTTATTGCTCAGGATTGGATTTGGAACTCTCTGAGCTTGGCAGTTTTCTTGCAGACATTTTTATTACCCAATCAGAGAATATCACCAGTCCTGGAAGGGAGGGGAATTTGCAGGGAGGAGGAAGAGATGGGAGAGGAGGAGGAGGAGGAGAAACGGAGGAGGAGGAGAGAGGAAGAGGATAACTGTGGGGTCCTTGGTGCTCTCTGAGCTTGATGGTTTCTTGTAGACATTTTATTACCCAACTAGGTAACATCATCAGTGCTAGGAGAGAGAGGAGTTTGTGGAGAGGAGGAGAAAGAGGAAGAGAAGGAGGAGGAGGACTGTGGGGTCCTTGGTGCTCTCTGAGCTTGGTGGTTTTCTTGCAGATGTTTCATGACTCAACTAGATAACATCATCAGTGCTAGAAGGGAATGTGAGTTGTGAAGGAGAAGGAGAGAGAAAGAAGAAGAGGAGAACTGTGGGCTCCTTGGTGCTCTCTGAGCTTGGTGGTTTTCTTTCATGACCCTAACAGGGAACATTATCAATGCTGGAAGGAGGGGTGGGCTTTGCAGGGGGGAGGAGGAGAACTGTGGGGTCTTTGGTGCTCTCTGAGCTTGGTAATTTTCTTGCAGACGTTTCATGACCCAACTAGGGAACATCATCAGTGCTAGCAGGGAGTAGGATACAAGAGGCATTTCTAAATTACCTTGTCCACTTAAGCCAATGTTTCGCAATCTTGACCACTTGAAGATGGATGAACTTCAACTCCCAGAATTCCCCAGCCAGCCAAGAAAGAGACTCAGGAGGATTCTTTGGGCCTTTCCCACAGCTGAGCGGATCACACACACACAAACACACACACACACACACACCAGCTTCTGTCCTTGGCCGTTGGGGGAAAGAGCCCTGGTCTGGAGCTCTCTGCCCCAGCCCCAATCCCTCTCCTGCTCCACTGCTTCTCTTCCCAGGCCGTGCAATCCTCCATCCCCTTCAAAGCAAGCCAGGCTGTGGGAACAAAGTCTGGCAGATTTCATCCACATTGTGGAGGGGAAATTATATTTTACCACAGTTGGTCCCCAAAAGATTATATTCAAAGCTGCTTTAATCTTAATGTGAGAATGAGATCCAGACACCTTCATGGGGACACGGCATAAAAACAAAATTGTATGGGGGTTAGGAGGAAGTGGGGATAAAATCAACCCAAAGGGAGGGGTCCCTCTTCTCCCCTTCCTCTTTGGGCAGTCTTATCTTCTCCTCCCTCCCCCCGAAGCCCCCAGTTTCTTCCCATCCCCCTCCCTTCCCCCCCCCCCCGACCAAGGCCTTCTCCAAGAATTTTGAGGCTTCACATGGGCTGCTTTAAATGCCCCATTAATGCTCGATCATTTATTAATGTTTCGTTAGTGCTGAAAACATCAGGGGAATTAATTATGCCCTCATAAATTCACGTCCCGAAGCCGGAGTGATTTATGGCCGAGAAGACAGACCCTCCACCGGCACCATCTAGCGGAGGCCAAAATGGTGCCCAGCCCATATCCCGAAATTTGAATCCAGGTCAGAGGCCAGCAGCTGGCGTCCAACTGCGGCCATTGTTCACCCAGGTGGGTTCCAAAAGGGCTGGCTGAGGCATGTTCAGTTTCGAATCATTTATAAGGAAAATGCAGGTAGTCCTCGAGTTACAACAGTGCACAACAGCACTGAAAAAAGTGACATGACCGTTTTTCACACTTAGGACCATTGCAGTATCTCCACGATCACGGGATCAAAATTCAAGCTATCAGCAACCGACTCACGTTTATGATGGTTGCCATGTTCTGGCGTCATGTGATCCCCTTTTACGACCTGACAAAGTCAAATGGGAAGCCAGATTTACTTAACAACCACATGACTAACTTAATGACCGCAGTGATTCACTTAACAACTGTGGCAAGAAAGGTCGTAAAGCGGGGCAAAACTCGCTTAACAGCTGTCTCGCTTAGCAACAGAAATTTTGGGCTCCATTGTGGTCATAAGCCGAGGACTACCTGTATCCACTTTGAGCCTCCAGAATAGACCGAAGAGTCCACCGTACACCCAGAATGTACAACTGTTTTTGGATTTCTTCGGCCGTTTCCAATACTTGCGCCCACACAAATTGTGCGCAGTTAAGATCCTGTCGAGCATCATTTGGCCGCCGAGGAAACAAAAGTCTGGCAAAAAAAAAGGACGTGCCTGACAAGAATGAACAAAAACAGGTGAGTGTAGAGAACCACACATAAAAATGGCTGCTCTCTGAGCTTTTTTGGCTGGATTTGTGAACAATTTGTCGTGTGTTTGGTGGGAAGAAGGCTTGGGTAAAAACAAGGAAAATTGAATTACTCCGTTTACCTCTTGGGACAGTGGTGGTGAACTTATGGCACGGAGTTCAGAGAGGAATGGGGTATGTCTAGTTTAATGGAGAGAAGGAACAGGGGGGACATGATAGCAGCCTTCCAATCTTTGAGGGGCTGCCACAACGAAGAGGAGGGGGGTCCACCTATTTTCCAAAGTGCCTGAAGGCAGGACAAGAAGCAACGGGTGGAAACTAATCAAGGAGAGAAGCAATTCCTGGAATTAAGGAGAAAATTCTGGACAGTTAGAATAATAAATCAGTGGAAAGACTTGTCTCCAAAACTGAAGGATTTTAGAAGAGGTTGGACAACTATTTGTCTGAAATGGTCTAGGGCAGTGGTGGCGAACCTATGGCACGGGTGCCGGACGCGGCACTCGGAGCCCTCTCTGTGGGCACACGTGCCATTGCCCCAGCCTTGCCTCCCCCCACGACCCCCTCCTCTCCAGTAGCCCCCCTGAAGGAGAGTCGCCCTCAAGCGTGGCCCACACAGAGTAGCGCAGCCAAGGACATGGCAGCCAGGCAGCGTAGACAAGACTTTGCCCTCACACCCCATCATGCAGTTGATGCTGCAGGGTGCGGGCAGAGGGTGTGGCCACCATAGCACTGCTGGGCTGCCTGGGCGATCTGCGGCGGGCCCTGGAGGCGGTGAGTGGTCCTGTGGGCAGGCGGGGCAGGGAATGGGGGGCAGGGCAGGGGGTGGAACGGAGCGGGGCCAGTTTTGGGGCACTCGGTCTCTAAAAGGTTCGCCATCACTGTCTTAGGAGCTGTTCTACGCTGTGCAAGTTTTCTCCAGGAGACCCTAAACCAGCCTTTCTCAACCTCAGGCACTGAAAAAACAATGATTTTACGACCGTTTTTCACATTTAGGACCATTCCCACGATTACGGGACCCAAATTCAGATGCTTGGTAACTGACCATTGCAGTGTCCCGGGATCACGTTTGTGACCTTCTGATAAGCGAAGCCAATGGGGAAGCCAGGTTCATTTCACACAGTGGTTCTCAACCTGTGGGTCAGGACCCCATTTGGGGTCGAACGACCATTTCACGGGGGTCGCCAAACAAGGCTATCCGCCATTTTTTCCCCCTTTTCTTTGGCCACGCCCCTGGCACCCGGCGATGTATAAGTGGTTGGGGGTCACCACAACATGGGGAACTGTATTATGGGGTCGCGGCATTAGAAAGGTTGAGAACCACTGATTTAACAACTCTGTTACTTAACAGCTGCAGTGATTCGCTCAACAACTGCAGCAACAAAGATCATAAAAGCTCACTCAACCTGTCTCGCTCAGCAACGGAAACTGTGGTCACAAGTCAAGGGCTTAACTTCTGGAGACGGGAAGTGGGAAAAGCAGGCTGGCTTTGATTCTGCCAGGGAGAAGCAGCTAAAATCTCAGCTGGATGCTGGAGGGGCCAAGAGCGACTTGAGCTTTCCCGGGAGATTTATTGACGCTGTGCTGAAACTGGGCGAGGTCCCTGCCGGTTGTCTTGCTGGGCAGCTGTTAAAAGCGGCTGTTTTCAGAAAAACACCAGCTGTTCTGTTATGCAAAATTCCCTGTTTATGGATTTGGGAGCAGGAAAACCTACTTATTTCTGACCGAGAGGGAGTCGCTGGACTTCAGTTGACAAACAAAATCCCTTTGTGGGCAAAAGTCCTGGCCAGATGATTGCGAAGGAGGGGAACACACAAGGATTGTGAGCCAGCAAGAGTTGTTTTGCTAAACTTTTTAGAAGCTTGTGTTAGGACTCACTTCAGTGGCCCTCTCCCTATTCTGACTCACTTCAGTGGCCCTCTCCCTATTCACACACACACACACACACACACACACACACACACACACACACACACAGTCCTTGGAGGCCCAGGGCTAGCACTGCTAATGAGACTCCCCAGAAAGCAGATAATCCTCAGGTCCTTCCCACTCCAGGAAACCACAGGAAGAGGGGAGTCAAGTGGGAGTGGAAGGGAGGAGAGGAATAACAAAATAATAGAGTTGGAAGGGACCTTTGAGGTCTTCTAGTCCAACCCCCTGCTCAAGCAGGAGCCCCTTTAGCATTTCAGACAAGTGGCTGTCCGGTCTCTTCTAAAAACCTTCCAGTGATGAAGCATCCACAACATCTGGAGGCAAGTCGTTCCACTGGTTAATTGTTCTCACAGTCAGGAAATTCCTCCTTAGTTCTAGGTTGCTTCTCTCTTTGATTAGTTCCCATCCGTTGCTTCTTGTCCAGCTTTTAGCTGCTTTGGAGAATAGATTGATAATGCACTGTTTACAGTCCATTGTTTGGAGAAGATTGCAGGTGGGGAAACGAAGCTCTCAGGTGCTTCATATTTAAAATCAATTTGTCTCAAAGAGATAACGCTGAACGTTTATATTCAGTACCCAAACCAGATCTGTCCTT